CTGAAACTGAAGGGTTTGTCCCATCACCGCCGAAATCAGGGGCATCTCATACCCTACAGATTCCAACAAATAATGTGGACTCCCGCTAGGACACAATGAAGCTTTCGAAAGAGCTCTACAAAGGCTAGGGGACCAGGGGATAGTCCAGTTCGCAAAATACCCTGAAGAAGAATATAAAGTTGCTTTGAAAGGCGAAGCATATTTTCCTCCAATCCAAGAGACCTCTGTCAACAATGGAGTAGTGCATGGCGGACATGTGGCGAAGATATCCAATAAAGCCAACACCAAAAGGGCAACTGAATTAAGCCGAGAATACACCACAGAAGAAGACCTCAAAAGATGGACCGTCGTGGAGATTCCTGAGATATTTTTCTTTCCTAATTAATTTTTCTCGTTTTTGAAAGAACCTATGTCAAGCCTGAGGCATAGGGGTTGCTTGTAAGGGTTTCCCTGTTTTGTTTCAAACAATATTTACGATTAATAAAAGTGATGTTTTATTTTCAATCAAGATACCTGTCTTTCTCTTGCATTTATATCTTAAAAATGGAAATACTTTCTCCGCATATGCATTTTCAAATTTCATATACTAAGCCTGCACCAAAACATGATAAAGGTGCAAATTCATGCCCAAAACCACCGATAATGCTACTGCTACAATCCGATATAATCTTGATGCTCCTATCAACCAAGCTAAAGAGGAAGATGATAAAGATCTTTAACTCTCCTAGAAAATGGCGAGGGAAATAAAAAGAAAAGCTAATAATACGCAACCATATCAAGAGGCTGTTAAGGCCATCAATCTGAGCACAGGGGAAGACCCGAAATAAGTTGATCAAGTTATTGCACATATCTACAGAAACAGGCCAAGGCTAAATACAGACAGTGTTGTAAAAATAAGCAACTACGAAATACCAAGATCTGACGAAGAACCCGAGCCAGGGGCATGTTGGGTATCCATGATCGACGAGGCTTCAAATGCATCGGGGCACGATATAGGGGAATTATTGACTTCTCCAAAGAATGTCCATAAGCCATATATCAATTCAATGGCGAACGAGATACTAAATATCCGAAACTGGTTCCATATCAGGACCATGTTTTGAAAACTGACAGCGGAATTCACAAAGATCATTTTCAGTCACGTCCCACGAAAAGGAAATCAAATGACGAATGCCCTGGTAGCTATATCGTATACATTCAAAGTAAATTGGTCAAACCAAGAACCGCGCGTTGCAAATAGCCGTTTCGAAGAGCCCACACATTGCCTTGCTATTAAAAAACGACAATATAACAAGCCTTGGTATCATGACATCCGAAAAATGCCTCTAGCATTGGCAAACAAACCTTACGAGAATTATCTGCGGAATTATTTAAAAGTAACGGTATACTGTACAAGATGAACCACGACATGGTTTATTACTCAAGAATATTATGCTACCTCGCCTCAATTCACGTGGTAAACGGACCCCCAATTACGAAGGTCCGTATGTAGTCAAAACAACATCCCCCAGTGGTAATCTTGTCTCCACAATAATGGATGGGGAAGAACTACCGCACCTGGCAAATTCAGACGTAGTCAAAAACACTATGTATAAGAAGCTCGAACCTTAAACAGGCGACTTAGGCAAAAAGGAGCGCCCCGGTGGATCGAAAACCCTAAAGGGCGATCCAGGCAAAAATTAGGGGCATATAGACAAAAAAATCATCCTGGTGGATTGAAAACCCTAAAGGGCAATCCAGGCAAAAATTAGGGATCATTCAAAAAGAAATAAAGAACAAAAAGACTGCGATCTAAGAACTACGACTACGAACCACGAAGGGAGAGGTAGATCTGAATCATACAACTCAGAAGCAAAGGAGATAAGATCATTAAAAGGATATTTGGGAACAACAGTAGCAATTATCATTTTTATTGCCATTTACAGTTTTAAAACCTTCTGTAATTACCTCTTTCTAGGAATTGCATCTTCTACTCTTGCCTACTCAGAGGCATATTAATAAAACACTAGCTTCTTTGCATTTTTCAAATTGCGTTTTTTTTTCTCAGACTTGTTTACAAAATTCTACAATTATTACTTGTGAATATTGTCTTGAAATCATTTCGGGGGATTAATAAAATACAAGCATTTGACAAAACATCGAAAAAAACCTTTTTGTTAGAAAAATATCAAAAGAAAATCCACGTCTACGTCCATGCACATGGCTACTCATACATCTTGCAAATCTATACACATGTCTACGCCCGTATCTATGCATATCTACACTCACAATGCAAAAAGTCTACGCCCACACGTACATCTGCGCCTATGCTTGCACTCAATAATACCAAGTCTATGCCTACATCTACGCGTCCACACACAAAGCCTACATCCATGTCAGCACCTATGCCTAACTTGCAACATGAGGTCTACGTTTGCACGCGTCCATGCACATGTGTATTCCTGCCAAGTCTACATACGTCTACGCTTACGCTTGCGCCTACGACACACGAATCTACATATGTCTAGGCTTACGCCTGTGCCTATAACATACGAATCTACATGCATATACACTTATGCCTGCGCTTACAACACCAAGACCATACATATGCCAATACACACCTCTACACCTGCGCTTACAACATACAAATCTACGTATAGGCCATTATCTACGTCTACGTCCACGCTCGCAATACAAAATCAATGCTCAAATTTTGCTAACATTGTCAACTGTGTTCAAGTTCAACAATACTACGATGACACAACATACAACGCCAGGAGTTGGTAACTCTGAGCCAGTGGTTTAAAGGAGAGAATGCCCAAAATAGTCTTCATAACATTTCAAGGCATACGCGCATCTTACACACATTTCATACATACACACATTTTTCATATCTCAAGCATACAAACACTATGCATTCCTGCATACAATACGCATATAGTCCGGGTTCCATATCAATGTCAAACATCATACATTTCACATACATACAACATTCAACACGCATGCATACACATGTATCGCCTAGCAAATAGACAAATAATTTCACCCTCGATTCAACTATCTAAGGGTCAACCAACGCAATACTTCTCCTACGATTCAACCCGTCACCTCAGTCTTCATGCCGTGACACATTCAACTCATCACCTAAGTCTTCCCGCAGTGACGAGTTCCTTACAAGTCCCATTACATTGCCTCTAAGCCGCAATATATCATCCAACTCAAACACATTTCCTCTAAGCCGCAATGTATTCGAGAAACTCAGTGTACTGGCTCTAAGCTGCAATATATTATCCAACTCAAACACATTTCCTCTAAGCCATAATGTATTCGTGAAACTCAGTATATTGCTTCTAAGCCGCAATATATCGTCCGACTCAAACACATTGCCTCTAGGCCGCAATGAATTCTCAAAACTCGACACATTGCCTCTAAGCCACAATGTATTATCCAAGCCAACACATTGCCTCTAATCCGCAGTGCGTTCTCCAAACTCATTACATTGCCTCTAAGCCGCAATGTTTTCACAAAACCTAGATCATCGCCTCAGACTTTACGCAGCTGTAGCAATAAAAAATGTAGCGGGGTTAATTGGAGATCGAGCTATTAATTAACTCGTCTCACAAAAGCAAGAGTCGCCACCGCGGTTTATTATTTCCAAGGGAAAAGGGAAAAGAGCGAAATAAAACCCTAAAATATGCAATGTAAAATAATACTAAAAGTAATGAAAATACAAGGTGTTTTGAAAAGAGATATAGAGTTCGGGGGTTGGTTATACAATGGGAAGGTATTAGCACCCAATGCATCTATAGTATCCTATAGGAACCTTTTGAAATATCTGTCTATTAAAATTGTTTGTTCGATTAAAAATGGTTTGTTTGGCCATAAATGGGTATGGACGAGTTTTTTGAAGATACGACGACCTAACGTCGAAGTTTTGACTTAAAAGGTGTGAGTTTTGAAAAATTGAATATTTTGGGAAAATTATCTTAAATTTTTAACAAAATAATAAACGAAAGATGAATGAGGGTATTCGCACGATGTATTTGATGACATGAAGTCGACAAAAATTAACGATTCCCTTGGATTTGAGACGGACGGAAGATATAAAGATTAACGATAAAAATAATTAAAATTACAATTGAATAATTAACTAATGTAAATTAAATTATACTAGCATGCATTTTAACGATTAAATAAATAAACAAAATTACATAAAGACTAAATTATAACATCATGGATTTTTAATAATTAAAACAAATAACAAGAATTAAATCATGAAACATGTATTTTTTTTTTAATAATTAAATAAACAACAACAAAATTAAACAAAAGTAATAGCATGTTGACAAAATTAAATAAAAGATGAATTTATAATTAAACATGTTTTTATGTGTTTTTATAATAATTAATAATAATACAGTAAAGTAAACTAATATAATCAAATTAATGGAATAAAACCTAAAAGAACTAAAAAGAATACCCCAGTAAGAGTTGAACTCAGGTGTGGTAATATACTTTGCCAGTTGAGCTAAGCTGTTATTCATTTATTAACACAATTTAATTAAAACATAAAGGAAAATTGGTATTGAAGTTGGACCAAAACAGGCCCAATGGGCCAACCGGGTTTGGATGAAAGGAATAAGAAAAAAAATGTGAAAACCCTAAGACATGAGATGTGCCGCCGCTGGTATCAGGCTGTAACATTGGGAAGGGACAAACAAAATAATATTATTGCTGTTATAGAGAAAAAACAGGCTTTATATTATTAATAAACAAATAAAGAAAAAAAAACTAAAATAAAAACTCCTCTCTCTATATTCATGGATTACCCTCTCTTCTTCCTCTCTCTCTGCTAAACAGATCCACCTTCCTCTCTCTCTCTCTTTATATTTCGCTAAAAACTCTAACGATCGCGTCTCCTCGCTTATTATAGGCTTGTTCAGAAATTTCAAATCTTCCACCAATGAAGTGTCTTCCAGCCATCCACCAGATAAGACGGATGTTGGATCAAGATCAACGACATGCAAACGAAACCCGTCAAAGGGAGAATAGAATCCAAGCAGTTTGGAATTATCAGTGAGATCGGCGATTTGTTGCCAACATCGTCATATAATTCGAGGTGCATGGATTTGACGGAAGTACCACTTTTTCCACAGCTTCTCCTTCATTGCCTCTACCGTAAGCTGAAGGGAGAAACGAATATCGGAGTTGAAAGTTTTGAGATTAGAATGAGTAACGCGCAAAAGGACAGACTCGTCCACTTCGATTTTTTTGCAAGCTCGACGCCATTTACAAACTCGGTGGGCAACACGAGACTGCCAAGTTTGACAGATTTGGTTATGGATCAAGAGAGTCGCTTCTGCGGTTCGGGAAGATTTGCAGATTTGATGTTTTTATATGATTTTAAAGATTTGTACACAGGTTTCAGTTTCGACAATTACTAAGGTTTGTGCAGGTTATACTGATTTTGAACAGATTGCGTTTCGGTTTTGCAGGTTTTAAGCTTTTTGCAAGTTGAGGTTTTTTACAGGTTAAGCTGGTAACAACAAACCTTATGCTGGTTTTCTGGTTCTATATTTTGGTTTTGGATATGCTGGTGTTTTTAACAGGTTTATGCTTTTGAAAGGTTTTAAGATTTTTGCAGGTTAAGATTTGGTAACAGCAAATTGGACAACAAGTGTGTTTTGGACATCAAGTGATAAACTGGACAACAAGTGTTTTTTTGGATACTTGGTACAGCAAGTGGTTTGAAGATTTGTTATGTGGTTTGACGGCAGGGGTAAGGATTAATCGAATCACATAAAGCAAGCTCTACAATTTATTTCTGATATTCTTTTAAAACTGTTTTCTTTTTTTTTGGTGTTTATTAATACTAACATTTTCGAAATGTAACAAATTACAGCAACTAACAAAAATCAGCAAGAAAAGTAATGAAGAAACAAGCATCATATGGCAGAAAAATGGCATAATAGAATGGTTCAAACATGAATATATGCAGCAGTATATAGGGAGGAGGAAGAGAATAATACCTATCGGAGCCTCTCCGACGGGGCTTCTAAAAAATAGTAAGTTTTCTTGAGTTTGCTATCTTTTCTTCCTTGCTGAATTTTTTAGAACAAAACTAATTTGTTCTGTTTTTCTCACTTGCTGAATTTTTAGAACAAAACTCTATTTTCTGTTTTTTCTTACTTCCTGAATTTTTGACCTCTCTCCCCTCCTTTGTGTTGACAAAAGCCTCCATTTATAGTGGAGTGTGTGGGGTTTTAGGGGGGGAAATAGTAGGGATTTGAACTATTTTGGCAAGCTGTTTTCATGCTTTGTTCACACAATTTATTTTAACCATTTTGATACAATCTGTGGCTACTTTGATGCAGGTTGGAGCAGATTTTGGCAGCATTTGAGGCTGCTGTATGTTGTTGTTTTTTCAGGCTGTTGTAGTATTTTACAAAATTGGGCTTGAAGATGGGTTGCAAAATGGACTGCATTAGCAACTTTGCTGAATTTTTTTTAGTGTTGAAAATACATTTTGTACAAACTTGTATCTTCTTTGCAACTTTGTAATAATAACTCAAATAAATTGTAACATGAATAAACATGTATTCTTCAATATATTCTCAATTCCTTTGGTAGTTATAAATGATCTTGAATCTTCATATAAACATAATCTTGATATATCTTGATAAAATTCCAAGATTTTACATTTAAATTTGGGAAATAATTGAATAATACTTGGATGAATTGTTGAGTGATGAATAAATAATAATGCAAGTCTTGGACTTTAATCTTGCACTTTTGTAATAGAAATACAAATAAATCACATGGATTAATTTTGTAATCAAATAGAATTCCTCATGTAATCAAATAGAATTCCTCATGATGTAGATCCATCAAAATAATCACAAAAAATATTCTTGAATAAATATTTCATGCGATAAATGAACATTCTTGGATGAGATCTCTTGATAGCTCCTCTTTAATTATCACTTGAATTCAAATAAAGAAAATTCCAAATATTCCGAATAAATTCTTCTAGAACGGTTTTGAATTTAATCATCCCATCTCGGCGAAATTCAACCCGCATCATGAGAAAATTTGCAGATGACTTTTGGTCCAAGAAATTGAAAATGACGGTATAACTTGGTTTTTCTTGTATTTTAGAACAATGTGAAACACATATGAACCAAAGTCGGTAGAACTTCGACTGTTCTTCCTGAAAAATATTCGAAGAAACCAGAGACCATCCGTTGGACAGAGTGTGGAAATAAATGCACAATTCTCTGAAATTCTTTGATGAACCAGTCTTTTGGAAATTAACGAACGACAACATTTCTGTTCTGAGACTCGAAACCCTAATCAACGTACAACGTCTGATGCTCTTCTTTCAGACCTATTTTCTGCATAAAATAGCAAAACATACACTTCGTGCTTGATTAGTGGTTAGTCATTCATAAGATAAAATGCTCACAACACTTGATAATCTCTACACAGTCAAAGCTCGAAAGCGAAACATTCGAAACCTACCGTATTCTGTGACCTTAATGTGTATGTAAAATAATGCAGATGAAGCAGGGATCTTAGGTAAAAAATTGGGGTATGACAGCAGCGATGCTCGAAAACAAAACCTAGCTTATCACCTCAGACTTCACGCAACGATTTGTGAACCTAATCCATTTCCTCAGACTTCATGCAGCAATTTATTTCGTTATGCCAAGTTCCAGACCATCGTCTCAGACTTCATGCAACGATGTTCGAAACAACACATTTAGCTTATCACATCAGACTTCACACAGTGATTTTCAAACCTAACCCATTGCCTCAGACTTCATGCAGGAATGTATTTCATTATGCCAAGTTCCAGGCCATCGTCTCAGACTTCATGCAACGATGTTCGAAACAACACAGTTAGCTTATCACATCAGACTTCACGCAGTGATTTGCAAACCTAACCCATTGCCTCAGACTTCATCCAGCAATGTGTTTCTTATTCTACGACACAGATTAATGTCTCAGACTTCATGCAACGATGTTCGAAACAACAAATTTAGCCTATCACATCGGACTTCACGCAGTGATTTGCAAACCTAACCCATTGCCTCAGTCTTCATGCAACAATGTATTTCTTATTCTGCGACACAGATCATCGTCTCATACTTGATGCAGTGATGTTTGAAACAACAAATCTAGCTTATCACATCATACTTCACGCAGTGAATTGCAAACGGTAACCCAATGCATCAGGCTCCAAGCAGGAATACATTTCGTTATTCCAAAAACATCGTTCATCGCCTCAGACTTCATGCTGCGATGCTAAAAAGAAAACAAAAATCAACACATTGCCTCTAAGCCGCAATGTATTCGCAAACTCAACACATTTCCTCTAAGCCGCAATTGTATCCTCAAAACTCACTATGTTGCCTCTAAGCCGCAGCGTACTCTCAAAACTTCGTACGTTGCCTCTAAGCCGCAACATATTCTCAAAATCCCATTACATTGCCTCTAAGCCGCAATGTATTCATGCTCAAAACATCGCCTCAGACGTCATGCATCGATTCGCAAGCGTACCCCATGGCCTCAGTCTTCAAGGAGCCATGCATCATTAATCATTGCTATACTCACCCTCCAAATGGGTGAATAAGCTAAGACATACAAAATTATGTTATCTGCGTCGTTATCAAACCTGGGTAAGCGATATATCATCAGCTTTGCCTACTTCCTTGAGACTTATAAGGGTATGCTACATCAGTATAACCTTATGTTTGTCGGATAAATTTTGGGATACTTCAAGTATTCAATAAAACTTTCAATCAAAATGTGCAAGACTCGAGTTTTCTCACACTATTCGATTGAAAGATAATTGAATAGGGGCAGTTGTCGTACCCCAAATTTATCCTATCGTAACGATTATATTTTATGAGATAAAGAAAATACTTAATTAAAGACGGTGTAGCAGCATCTGATGGTCCGTCTTTATCTGGATAGGGGTGTATTTTTAATTCAGGAAAATGGGGTTTTCTAAATCAGAGAGACTCGTGTATCCGTGAATCCATTCGCGAGGCATGTTGGTCATTCGCCCATGTGATTCTAAAATGGAAAATTCAATAAGTTCTAGTTATTATTAGGTCCTTTAGGATTTGTTGCTATTAGTATAAATAAGGGGTGCAATTACGAATATTAAGCCCATTAAAGGTCTTGTTAAAAGAAGCCAGCACATTTTTCCTTTTTTTTATGTTTTGTTTTAAAAGGAAAAAATATTTTTATAAAAGAGAATATTTTTTGTCATAAGATATTAAGCGCTTAAGAGTTTTTTTTGGAAAAAAGAGGTTATTATTATCAAAAAAGGAATTGTTTATTATTTTTATAAAAGAAAATAAATAAACAAAATACCTTTTTTGTTAAAAACATATTATATTGTCTTGGCTGATAAATCTTTTTTGTTAGATATTATCTAAGTTATTGTTGTTAGAAAAGGCCAATTGGGCCTAGTAGTATTTAAAACTATTTTTTATTGTATCAGGGAGTTAATGTTGTTGGGCTTGATAAAACAGTAACGCGTTGGCCCAAATGTTCAGTAAAAACAACTACTGTTCAAATTCAACTAGATTTACGCACGCTTACTCCAAAAAACCGGTACTGTAGAAATCTAAAATCCAAACTTGCTCATTACAAAAAAAATAAAAAAAATCAGATCTTTGTTAAACCAGAATATACTACAAACTGAATCAAAATCTAACATAATATAGAATCTGGAAAATATAATACAGAATCCAATCAAGATCTAAATCTTATTACAACGAATCAATTACAATCCTTAATTTCACTAATCCTAAATCAAACCCTAACTTAATTTCAACAATTATGAAACCCTAAAGGAAAATTAACTATTATAAATACTGAAAAAGAAAGTACAGAAGGTAAGGGGATTTTCACAAAACAAGAAGAAAGTGAGCTCTTGGCAGAAAATAGAGGACGATGATTCTCTTTACAGAACAAGAATAGAGCGAAGGCGGCTAGCTAGGACAAAAAGAGAGAGGAAGGATTCCGGGACAGAAAATTGAACAAGAACTGAGGCCTTGCTGTTGAAGGCCAAAGGAAGGACGGTTGGAGTTTCCATATCGGAAACCCTAATCTCCCTTGAACCACTGCGAGCCACCGCTAAGGGCCGCCGTTCACCACCATCCTCAAGCCTTCAATCAACGCTAAAATCTGCAAAACAAGGAAGGAGGAAAATATCAGTAGCAAATCGAACACACTCCAGAACACGAAATCACGGAGAGGGTAAGAGGTCCTTAGATTTGTTCTTTTAATTTTGGGCGTTTGGGGCTTGGGGTCGTGGTTTGAGGTTGGTGGCAGACGCCGCCGGCGTTGGGGGAAGATAGGGTTTGAAGGAAAAGAGAAAGGGCTTACGTTGTGAGAGAGAGAGGGGTAAGAGAGAAAGGAAGACGAAGTGAAACTCTAAACACTGTAAAAAATGAAAAAATGAATGAATAAGAAACAAATTATTATCCATCTAATCCTATA